ATAAGAATTATTCCCTTGATAGAGCAAAGTGAGAAGTCCCTCTTGCTGTTCTACATAAATGATTGTCTAAACAAGTGGTTCCCAGATCAAGTCAAGCCAGAGCTTTCCCTAGAAGCAAAAATGACAAAACTGAGCTTGGACACTTCATGAGAAGGCAGGACTCAGTGAATAAGACAATCGTGTTGGGGAAAGTTGAAGACAGAAGACAAAAGGGAGGACCAAATATGAGATGGACTAAATCCATAAAGGAAACCACAGCCTTGAACTTGGAGTTGCTGAGTGCAACTGTCATGGACTGGACAATTTGGAGGGCTTTCATTCATAGAGTTGCCATAAGTCAGAGACAACTTGACAGCCCATAACACACACATCTCCATGGCTTACACTGGGGCTACAGAGCCTCAGGCCTGGGGACAAATCCAGCCCATCCAGGGTCCTCAACTGATTTTCTGGGATCCCTCAAAAGGCCATACGGCTTCCCTCCAACCTCCAATAAACTGGTGGCTTCCCAGCTTTTAGGCAGATTTCTCCACATCCTTTAGTTGCTAGTAATAAAATTAAAACATGCTGGATTTTTACATGTTTTCACCCATTTTCCACCCATTTTCCTTTGGTCCCACACAGCACTGTAACACCCCATGTACACACGTAGCCACTTCCAAGAGTATCTTTGAAATTGAATTTGGCTCTTTGGCCGCAAAAGGTACCTATAGCTTAGTAGTCATTCCTTAATCCAAGGCAATGTTACAACTAGTTCCAGCTTCTCCACATTTTTATTTTTGTAAGCCGTCCTGAGGCTGCTGCAAACGGCAGCATATAAATGTTTAAATTAAATTAAATTAACTGTGGATTTTCCTAAAACCCCAAGCTGGGACCACAGGTGGGGCCTAACCTTCTTGGCACTGAGGCTAGTGGGGGGGGCATCCATGTTGCTAACAGTTTGTTGGGCCCTGAAGCCTACTCTGATATGATCCTGATTTGGACTTTCTGTGCGGACTGTTGAATTGGTTTGTTTATGAAACTGGTTGGAACTTAGATACCATATATCTTCACCGCTCTTTCCTGCAAAGAAAAGTTGACCTGCAGTGAACAAGGCACCAAAGGACTGTGAATTGGCACTTTGGTTAGCGGGCTCGGTATGAGTGGGGACTGTTGCTCCTTTAAGGGCTGTGTTCATAGGGGAAGCTGCAGGGGCCAGCCTTCTCCTTGCCACACTCCCACCTGTTATTCCAGAGCCCCATCCTGTTCTCCCTGTGCTGTCTGATGATCATAAGGAAACGGAGGGCACTTAAATTGGGTTGGGTTGAAAAGACTAGGATGGAAATAGGAAACGGATATCTGAGAGGGACTGGAAAAGCTGCGGCAGGGGAATGTAGGGGTGGGAGGGGCAGGCTCAGGGTGACAAGAGGGAAGCTGGGGATTTGCTCAGGTCTTAAAATGCCTATTAAGAGTTGGAATGAGCCCTTCCTGTCCCATTCTTAACTGTGCTAATTGCAATTTGTCCTATTAGCATTAATGGGTCTGAGTGAAGGGTTTTTCTCTCCATAACAAGCAGAGAGAGAGAGAAAGGGAGAAAGGAACACTTGGTGCATTTTTTCAGCTCTGCAAAGTAAAGGAGGGATCAGTCTGAACATGAATTAATGATACTTGTGGGAGCTTCCTGCCTGCAGGGTGGTAAATAGCAGACATACGGGAATGAAATGGAAAAATCTGACACCAGAAGGCGTTGGCTTTCGTTTTAACCAGGAGCTTAGATCATGAAGTGGGGAAACTGAGGTATAGAGAAGGGCATTCCTTTGACAAATTAGAAAATGGCATCCCTAAATGCCAGCTTTCAGTGTGGCTTCCCCTAGAGCCTACCTCTTTCTTTCCCTCCTGTGGATCATGAGTGGTTCCAGAAATCTGTACTTGTGTATTCCTGAGGGAGAGCTGGAGGTCTCCAGAGCAGTCCCTGGCATCCGCAGACAAGACAGGAGGAAGCAACCCTGCCTGGAACCTTTCAAGGTCTTTTCCAGTTGCTGTAGGTAGTGCTAAGTTAGTTGGAGCAATGGGTTTGACTCTGTGTAAGGGAGCTTCATGTCGCTGTCTCCCACTGGACTGCCACTGCCCCATTCTCATAGTTGGTGTAGAGTCCAGGCGTCTTCAATGCTTTTTCCCTTTTCTGGAGTGGCTGTGAAACTGGAAAAGGATGCTTTGGTGTTAATCTCAAATGGCTGGACTTACTAGGAGTGCTAAGACAGGGAAACAGTGATTTGATTCTCTCTTCTGCTCACATCAGCGTCCTTATTATGATGTCTGCTATGCTAAACCATTCAAATCACTATGCATTAGTGCTGCAGTGCTTACAACAGCCCTGTAAGTTAGGTCAGTACTGGCATCCTCTTATTGCAGATCAGAAGCTGAGAGGGAGTGGCTTGCCAGTCAGTTAATGGCAGAAGCATGATTTAAACTGGGGGACTTCCTGGGTCACTGCTCAGAGCCTTTGCCAGTATGTTATGCTAGAAAATCTAGATGTCTGTACTTGGATCAGATTTTTCTGTAGAGCCTTTGGCATAACTCAGAGTTCCTAAGCTGAAGTGTATATATATAACTGAACTATATATATGTATAGCTCCCCCTGTTCCTTCATCTCCATTTCATCTCCTCCTCCTCGTATTTACTCATACATTCATTTTATACCTTTTATTACTCACTTCATAAAATAATCTCAAAGCAGGGCTTAAAACCAATATATCGCAATAGCACTGTACAGGAACAACAGATAGAACAGTAAAATAGAGAAGAACAGAAATAAATTCAAATTGCAAGGTGTAACAACACAGATATAATCAAAAGCCTGCTGAACAAGTGGATATTTTGCAGGTGTCAGAAGCTCGTAAGACCAGGCATCAGCCATACATGAAAGGGGAAGGAGTGCCTCAGTTAGAGTGCCTGTACTGTGAAAGATGTATTGAGCCCAGACAAATCCTTCTAGATCATAATATTCAGGCAAGGGGAAAAAAATGCTCCACCACAGATCCACATCCTAAGCCAGGTAATGATTGACATATTAGCACAAGCAGCTTGAACATGGCCTGGCAGTTTGCTGGCAGGCAGTGCAACACTTTGTAATGTGTTCAGCTCAGCAGCCAAGCTGCAGCATTTTGTTCTAGTTCTGGGGTAGGCTCAAAGACAATCACATTTAAAACACACTGCAGTTGTCCATCCTTGGGTTTACTTGTATATGGAGCCCTGTGGCCAGGCTCTGTCCCTTATCTTGTTACATAAATTGTAATCCGCCTGGGATAGGGACCTGTTCTCTCATACATATACATAGATGAAACATGGCTGGCGATTATAGATTTAAATGCACTTATTTAATTTACATAATGTGGTTTGCACTGTTCTGGATTGGTTCTCATTGTACCTGTCTATTTCCCATTTTTCTGGCTATGTAGTAGAAGCTGTAGATGTATTCAGATAGGAACTTATAATAAAATGTTATAAATTGCATAAATGCATATCTGCACACAGTTAGGTCAATGTAAACCTGGAATAGTGATCAGTTCTTCCCACTATGATAGATGAATATGAAAGAAGCATGATAGATCTAGGTAGAAAATCAAAAGAACTTATTTTGCTCATAAGAGAGATGGTTGAAAAGGGTTACAGTGGTAGGAAAGCATAAAATCACACATAGGTAGATTTTTAAAAAAAACTTTAATCCTAGTGATCACCCCTAAAATAAACAGCTCTTTCTTTCCCTTTCCTTTCCTTTCCTTTCCTTTCCTTTCCTTTCCTTTCCTTTCCTTTCCTTTCCTTTCCTTTCCTTTCTGTGCAGCATATTGATCTGTAGAACTCTCACTGTACTGGGATTTGGGGAAGACAGGATATAAATAAGCTTTTGAAAATGAGAACTAGTGAGGATAAAAGTATCTACTAGGGTGGTCAGGGAGGGCAGCTTCCTGCTCAGATCTTCTCCGAACACTGTTGCTAGAAGTTGTGACTGTTGAACAAAGACTGGAATGCACTTATTGTCTTGCTAGGCACATCCTGTAAAGCGTCCTGAAGTGGCGTTGTTGGGGTTGTGAGGCTAGGCTACATGGGTTTTTCCTCTGGCCCAATAAGGCATGTTCCTTACTGATAATCTTTCTAGCATTGCTCTCGGTTTCCATAACTTTGCTCGATGCTGTGAGCAGCTACAGAGTGCCAGCCCTGTTGACTCCCTGCAAAGTCCCACCCTCTCACTAACTGTCAAGACTGCATCTCTGCAAGATGTGTGGCGCTTCCGGCAATAACTCGGAACCTCAGCCTGGTGACTGTTCCCCATTAAAAATTGATGGGACTGGGGCTGGCACCATCTGCTGCAAAAGGGTATAAATGGCCGAGCTGCTTCTACCCCCCAGCCCCCAGTTTGCTTCTTCCTCCACCTTGATTTTTGAGGTTCTTGCCATCAGCCCATTGCCTTGCCTTTGGCAGCTCCTCTGCAGCCTTTTCTAGCCCCGCGGAGGGTCTGTGACGATGGGCTCGTTCTGGGGCAAGAGGTGCAACACTTGCTCTCCCAGCTGCTCGCCTGCTTATGCCGGTAATTGGGGACTGCCCCTTTAAGAGGCGGAATGTGTGAGCATGCTGGGGACTGAAGGGCCGCTGTGCAAGGTGTTCTCCACTTTGACGCTGACCTGGCCACCCTCTTATTTCTCTGCTCCAGTCAGGACTGAGTCTGCCTGGGTGCAGGAGCAAAGGCGTTTCAATAGCTGTGTTCCTCCAGGAGTTAAACCTGTACTTCCCTCTCCCTCCCTGAGCCCGTGCAGCTGGACTATTGCCTGTTCTGTGGCTGTGTGTGCTGTGGCGAAATTCCCAGTTGCTGCTCTGGAAACCCATTGTGCCAGTGAAGAATGTGCCGGCTCAGCGAATCAGTCAGGAGAGTGTGAGGGGACGAGCGAGAGCACTCCCTCTAATCTGTTTCATCTCCATCCCTTGCTGCCTAACCGGATCTCTCGGATTCTTCCTCTCCCTCGCAGGCATCAAGTGGAGCAAGGACAGTACCATGACTGACAGCAGGGAGTGGGCCACACTCAGCCCAGAGGAGTTCACTCAGCTGCAGAAGTACCTTGACTGTAAGTCCTTTTTCCTTCTCCCATCACCTTTCTAGGCTGGTCCCGCTGCTGCAGAGGGACCGGGGAATGGTGTTCCCTGTGCCAGTGACTGTTACAGTGGGAAAGGTCTGAGATGCAGAAGGGGCTCCCTGTCCCGTTCCTGTGGGACAGTTTGACTTGCCAGGATTTGGGTGCCATTGAATTAAGGCACTGAGCAGGAGAGGCAGAAGGGTGTGTGTGTCCGTGTATCCCGTGGTCAGTTGGTCGGTCAGTGGAGGGGAATTGCCTTTCCCATGCAAATTTAGGCAAGGTTCATAGAAAAATTGAATGTACTCGTTGCGCTGCTCCTCGGTCCATCTTTCTCTCACTGCCCCATGATATCAGCTTGGTGTCTCATGTCAGAGATGATCATTGAGCATACACAGAAAATATGAGGAAGGGCAGTCCGTTCTCTTAAGGGGGGTTGCGTGTTCTCTGTCCCCTGGACTGAAATTCTTGGCCCGTGCATCCCAAACAAAGCATGTAGTAGAAATGAATTTGAGCATCAAATTACATCATATATCAGGTTCCAAACCATCCAAAGCCAACTGGGGCCAGATTTGGTGCCCTGCTGCAACTTGCTGCTTCCTGCACCATTTTAGACGTAGGACCATGTCCTAGAGTTAGGATTTCTAGTTGAACCAAGTGTTCTACCTACCACATCATCTAAGACTCCCGAAATGTACATATTTGTTTCCTCGTTTTTTTCCACCCTACAGACAGCAGCAAGAAAGTACAGGATGTATTGCAGGAATTTTACGGAGAAGGGACGTTGTCCCAGCACCTGCAAGGAGATGTGAGTACAGCCTCTTCCTCTTCCCATCCTACACCCACCACTTTATTTCTTGACTTGCCAGGTTGTACATTTTTGGGTCTTGCTTATTCCAGAGAATGAATCTGCCCCAGATGTCTGTGCAGGCAAGGTGACCTTGCAAAGCATTCTGCCTTTCCTTCCAACTCCTGGGCACCACTTCCCATGCTAGGCACAGCCTTCCCATTGCTCCGTCCCTTGCTTGCAGAACCGTAGAATTGGAGGGGGTCATTAGGCCAACCAGGCCAACCTCTGCTCAGTGCAGCACATCCAGAACAGGAGCTTCAGCCTCCCCCAGTGACCAGTCCTGTTGCTGACCTGTTCTTACTGCTAAGAAGCTTCTTTTAATGTTCAGCAGAAGTCTACCCTCCTGTAACTTATATCAAGTCCTGCTTCCTGCGATGGCAGAGACAGTGGTGCAGCTAGGTAATTTGGACCCTGATTATTACTTCAGTTGTAAAACACGTAACTAACATTTCTCTTCCTCTCCATTCCATGCATTACTGTGTGATAATTTAAAACTGCTCCCATTGAATGGATATGTTAGAACACCTACAAAACTGTTTGATAGCCCTGATTTCAAAATCAACACTACCACCATTCTGACCACACACCATTTTGCATTTTAGACTTAATTAAATCGTAACACCATTATGACTACAGTAATAAAATAAAGTTAGCTTCTGTACCTGTACAAGTAATTTGGAGTGGGGTGAGGGCTGTGTTTGAGGCCTAGGGCTTTGGAATCCAGATCTAGTCCTAGCTGCATTCCCAGGCAGGGGACAAGTCTGTGCTCTCCTGTGTGACTGCTTTCAGGTATTTGGGAGAGGGCTATTATGCCCCATATCCATCGTCTCTTCTCCAAGTTAAATATACCCAGTTCTTTCAACCCTTTCCCACAGGATTTGCTTTCCATACTCCTGACTGTCCTTCTATGAACCCATTTGAATCTATATTGCTCTTAAGGTGTGACACTGAGAACTGGACACAGTGCTCCCGATGCCATTGGACTAGCACAGAATAAAGCTGAACTAATACTTCTCTCGACTTGGAAATAACGGTGCTACAGCCTAAAATCGCCTTAGCTTTTTTTGCAGCCATATCATCGTGCTGACTCATGCTCAGCTTCTAATGGGCTACAATATTGAGGGTTTTCTTCACATGTACTGCTGCAAAGCCTGCTATCCCATGTCCCTTGCCAGTGTTTTTTGTGGGTGGGCAGCTACCCGTACGCAGACGCTTTCATTAGTTTTTGTTGTATTTACTTTAGTTAGTTTCAGCCCAGTTTTTCATTCTTTCAAGGTCATTTTTAAGGTTGTTCTTTTTCTTCCGAGATGTTAGCTGTCTCTTCCAATTCGTTATCTCCAAGTGTGATGAAAATGCCACCCGCCTCTTCCTCTAAGTCATTGAAAAAATGTTGAAAAATTGTTGAACAGTCTGCATCTAGGACTGGGCACTGTGCGCACTGTGCGCACCATTCAAAACCACCTCCTGGTTTGTGGCAGAACCATTGAAAGGCATTCTTTGAGCGTAGCTTTCAAACTAGCTGTGAAGCCATCTGTCCATAGTGTCAGCTAGCCTGTTTAAACTGTTTTCTAGCCAAAACATCATAGGTGTCTATGATACTTTGATAAATCAAGAGGAAGGTCAAGATTAATTACATCCACAGTATTTCCAGTCCACTAAGTCACTGATCTGCTGAGTCTCTGCTACTGCCTCCCTCCCTTTATCCTGACAGTCCAGAATTCTTCCGTGTCTCATCTTGGGTCTGCTCTGCGCTCCCCAGGTGTTTCCTACTCATCCTGTGATACGAGGTCTCTCCTTCCTGTATCCATGAATCCTATAATGAATCCAATAGCCATTAAGCAACAGGGAGGAGAGTGGTTCGCTGTTATCATCACACTGAGAAGGGAAAGAGAAAGGTTTTCCTTTCTTTCCACCCACTCTGCAGTAGATCTATCATGAAGAGACCAAGTATAGTCAAGATTCATGCTGTACTTAGTGTCCCGACTGAAGAATGCGCCAGTAGTGGTACTGACTCATATCCTTGCTTGCTTGCTTGCTCATGCTGTTCCTTTGCTGATGTCTTTGGCAGTCAATAGACTTTGAGGGCTTCAAGCTCTTCTTGAAAACCTACCTGGAAGCAGAGGAGATCCCAGATGAACTGTGCCGCCACCTCTTCATGTCTTTTCAGACCACAGCAGGACAGGCTACGACAGAGCCAGGTATGCAGCCTAGAGGGGGGCATTCAGCAGAGCTACACATACTTCGTTTATCCTGAAGAGTTGGGGAGAGAGGTCTTCTGGTTAAACGGGAGTGAGTGCTTAGGAACTGGGGAAGAGTGGTGTGCTACCTTCTCTTTGGGTGAGGGTTGGGCTTGGCATCTGAAATAACCAACTGCCCCTAGAATGAAGAACTACTGACACATCTCACCCCCTACGCCCCCTCTGCATTTCAGCCAGTGGTTTTGTTTGCGTCAATGATGTCTCTTGTTACTTCTCACTGCTGGAAGGTGGAAGGCCAGAAGACAAGCTGGAATGTGAGTACCGCAGAGGATCAAGAGAGAAAGGGGCAGCCAAGGGCCATGGTTGAGATTCTAATTTTTAGGGTGTGTGGCTAGGGGTGGGCAGATCTGTGCTCCAGGTCAGAAATGCCCTCATTCTCATCTTGCTGCCACTGGGACCTCATCAGCCTTTCCCTCCCTCCCTCCCTCCCTCCCTCCCTCTGCTTCACATGCATGAACCATTTCAGCGTCTCATCGTTACTCCCAAAATGTATGTAGGTATGTGTGTTTATTTTGATCAATTTCTCACCCACTTTCCTGCACAAGTATTCAGAGTGGCTTGACATTCGTGATGGTGGTCCTCTTTGCCTTGCCTGGGAAGATCGGGTCCATCCGGCACAAGAGATACCTGCCCTCCCCTTGCAGCACCCCTCATTCCTCTGCGCAGTTCTGTCAGCACAGGGCGCCTTGGGCATTCAAGATTTCTTGAGCCCCTTTCGTCCATGACTCTGCCTCTTGTGGATGTTGCCATTTTAAATCTTTGGGGGCTGGTACAGGGCAGGACATGGGGAAATAAACCTCCGGCTGCAAAGTGGTGGGGGTGACTACTTTAACCATGTGCTTTTCCTCTGTAATTTAAGAGGGGCCAGATGAAAGGGATCCATTGCAGAGGGTGCCTGGAGCAGGAGAGGGATGGAGAAGTTGCATGTCCTTGGTGATCTCTTACCCAGACGTTTCTCCTTCTGATCTTTTCTTTCTTCCCACAGTCACCTTCAAGCTCTACGACAAAGATGGGAATGGCCTTCTTGACAGCTCGGTAAGTAGTGCGAGGAGCGAATAGGTTGACTCTCTGCAGTTGGATCCCATCGCCCCATTCCTTTCCTATTCCAGCACTGCTACTCTCCGTTTCAAACAAAAGAACGGGCTCATTCTGTACCACAACCGCACATGTGCACACACATCCCCTCCACGTGACTTTTGGCATTGTAGCTTTTTTGGGGCCCAGGTCGGCCTGAGCCGAGTTGTGACTGAGGAAGAAGATTTAGATGGTATGCCCCTCTCTCTCATGTCTGTGTGAATGTGCATGCGCTCAGTGCATATACGTGTGTGCGCGCACACAGAGGCATGCGGCAGCCAACTTCCACAGGTAGCCTCTGCTCAAGCTTTTGTTCTACAGGACTTGCATGGGAGAAAATTATACCCTACAGCTAGTTTCTTTGGTTCTTCTGCTTTTAATGGCACCCAGATCTACCTTCTTCAATCGTTTTTGTGTTCATGTGCTTTCCACACTTTGAGGACATCCCCGTCTTGCGACCTAGACACCAAACGTTGCTGCTTGTTTTCCAGTTTTCCTCCCTTTTCCACTTTGTGTGAGTGGCCACCATGCTATCAAGTATGCAGTCTGGAAGCAATTCTTCAGTTTTTGTTAGGATTCCAGACTTTTTTGCTCTGGCCATTTCACTGGTGCTGTATTTGGAAGAGGAATGTGACACATAGGGTGAAACGTATCTTTCCATGTTTCCTTTACAGAGTCGGGGGTGGGTGTCAGTTCAGCTCTTGTTAAAGACCCAGTCCACCCCTGCCCTTGTCTGCTGCACAAGATTGCCACTTTTTTTCCTGAAAGGGCTCTTGTACCTTCCTGTGTGATAGGAAGGAAATTGGCAGCTACATCTCCTGCCAGAAAAAGATAGTCACCCTATTTTGAGCTGACTGGGATACTGTAGTATCTTTGGCTTCTGCTTTGCTGCCTGGTTTCTCCTTACTCTTTGCTAAGAAGACACCTATTACAACAAAAGGCGCCTGTTAGGGTTAGGGTGAGACTATGACTCCTCAATTTCTTTTTCTAGATACTTATGTGGCTGGCCAGTTTTATGTGCTTTAAACTATGTTTCTCTTCAGGAGGTGGATCGTATAATTACACAGATGATGCGGGTGGCTGAATATCTTGACTGGGATGTCACTGAACTTAAACCTGTAAGTGCAGAATACGCATGCCCTGTTCTTGCTGGGCATGCTTCACCACCGTACCCATACATAAAGACCTTCCTGGGAAATACTGGCTGTGGAATGTGGGTACCTGCCTCATAGGCTCTGGGGCTGACCAGCTGGCCGGAGTATGCAGGAAATGTGATCAAGGCGATGTCTTGGGCATTAAAATGTCACACCAACACAGCAACACAGCAAGGATCCAAGATTATGTGTGCTTGTGAAGGAAGAAGGGACGGAACCGGAGATAGTTGAGTGTGCACCATTTTGTTTGTTCTTAGTTGGTGGGATTACCCTCACACGGTTGACCTCCCCCTTTTCTGCCTGGGCTGAGGTTGGGGGCTGCGGCTGAGGGTGCAAGTGCCTGTGTATGTACCCTTGTATGTAGACAAGGGTTGTCTCCATGCTTCTGTGGCTCAGATGCCTCCCGCAAGACAGTGGAAGACACTAGGCTGGCATAAGGCAAGGGTGACCGCTTGTGGCCCTCCTGATGTTTTGTCCTACAACTTCCATGAGCTGCAGCCAGAAAAGGAGAGGGATGGTGGGAGCTGCAGGCCAAATGAAGGGTGGAATCTGCTGTATGCTGCAAATAATTTGACCTGTGTTTTGGGGAGAACACCTTGGTCCTCTAAGAGTTCTTCTCTTCAAATGGTTGGGAAATCGGACATGATGGGTACAGTGACGTAGGGTCAAATGGACTTGAGCAGATCCCCCAGTGACATGTGCTTCCCCACTGTCCCTTTAACCCAGATCCTGCAGGAGATGATGCGAGAGATTGACTATGATGGCAGCGGCACCGTGTCTCTGTCCGAGTGGCTCCGTGGGGGCGCCACCACCGTCCCCCTCCTCGTGCTGCTCGGGCTGGAAGCTGTAAGTGCTTGAGGGGCAAGGGGAAGGGATGGAGAGAGGCGGAGAGGCCTGCCCTAAGAGGACTGGCAGGCACCCCGCTGATCCCTGTCAGTGTACATTACTGTGCTTTAGGGATGGGGGACGTTGCCTGTTCTTGGGCCTAGGGAGACACAGGGGTTGAGTCCAGCCTCAGGTGCCCTATCAGTTTTACCTAACGCATCCTTGGAAATGAGGGTCAGTCTGTCCCCACTGAATGGATAACAGCACCATCTTGAGGGTGAGTGGGGGAACAGCACAACAGCAGATCTGTTGCCTCTGCTGATGTCCTGCTTGATGGTGCAAAGCTGGTGATTCACTGAGCATTTCAGTCCTTTATAACAAATTCCCCTCCCCTGCCCCAAGAGCAATGAGGGGGAAATGCCGCAAGCTGGCGTAGCTGTCTAGGGCACTCTGGAGCAGCTTGGGATCCAGTGGATTGAAACATACGGATAACAAGGTTTAATTTAAAATTACAAAAGCTAAGGAACTAAAATGGCTGGGAGAAGAAAGCCGTCAGCTGGTGCTGAAAAGACCTCAACATGTAGGCCCCAGGTGAGCCTCTCTGGAGAGGGCAGGGCACAACTGGGGTGCCACTGCTAAGAAGGCCCTCTCCTTAGTAGCCATCCGCTTCTCTTAATTTGGCATTTATTCCTGTAGCATTTCATTCCAATAGGCTAAAGGTATAGTCTGTGATAAAAGCTTTTTCAAGGTAATGTATTTTTGTTCTCACAAAACAAGGCACCCTTCCTGCAAACACCTGACCCACCTTGGGCGCCTTCTCACCTTTCAGCAAACCTGGTTATCCCCCTTCCCTCCAGCCAACCAGATGCCCACACCGGTGCCCCCCTTAACTGCTGGCTTTCTCCATTTCTTCAGACCATGAAGGACGATGGGCAGCACCTCTGGCGCCTGAAGCACTTTAACCGCCCGGTTTATTGCAACGTGTGTGAGACGCTGCTGTTGGGCCTGCGCAAGCAGGGGCTGCGCTGCACCTGTGAGTGAGGCCCTGTCTCCTTGGGAGGCAGGTGGGGGGAGGCACCCGCGGCACCCACCAGGCCCCTGCCCTCCTCTCCTGCTTTTTATTTCTGGAGGAGGAGGAGGAGGCTGGCCTGCTGCAATGTGAAGGGCTGCCCCTCTAGCACCATCTTCATTTGGTGTAAAAATAGCAGGCCTCGGAGCTCAGACTCCACTTTGCCCCTGTACATACATTCTTGGGCAAGTGGCTTTCCTTTTAGTCTCAGCCAGCTGTCTTTTGGGATATGAGTGTTCTCTAACTGCTGTGCCCCCCACCCCCCCACCAAGGCAACTACTTTATGCGAGTGCACACAGCACCCTCTCAAAACTCCCAATGTGCTCACCAACCCAAAAGGCTTGAACTGACTAAAGGCTACCAAGTTCCATGATTATTCAGAAAGTATGTTGCAGAGCGGGAGCTGTGACCAGTGAAAAGAATGGATAGCCATTTTTATGCTCTTTTAAAAAATCTAGTGTAAGAAGAAGCCCTTCAGGCACAATCTCCTGCATGTTCAGGTTGAAAAGGATCCTGCAACTCACCAGCTGGGGTGCTGTGAGTTGTTGAGGTTGTTTTGTCAAACAGGCGGAGGACTGTGCCTTTAACCTCCCCTAGCTCCTTTCTCCAGGAAGGTCTCTCTGTGGCTGCAAGAAGCTGACAGAGATGCAGAGTAGAAGAAAGGGGAGGCCAGAAGAAGCGTATGGGCTGGTGATCGGGAAAGTACCAGCGGGAAGGTGTGGCCAGGGGTGTGCGTTTGGTCCCCCGTGCCTGGCATGCCAGTGGAGCCGCCCTTTTGTTCCTCTGCCTGCAGTCTGCAAGTACACGGTACACGAGCGTTGTGCCCGCAAGGCCCCGCCCAGCTGCATCAGCACCTATGCCAAGAACCGCCGTGACACCAGTGTGAGTGATGGGGGCAAGGAAGGGGGTGGTGCCCGGGAGCAGTGGGGCAGGGGAGAGCTGAAGTGCTCCTCCTAGCAATCACAGGAGCACAGGGGGCTGCCCTACACAGAATCAGACCGTGGTTCCATTTAGCCCAGTGCTGGCATCTGCTTTCCAGGCCTTTATTCTCTGGCTCTGTCTGGAGATGCTAGAGACCTTCTGCTGGCAAGGCACATTCTCTGCCCCAGAGCTCCTGTCCGTCCTGCAGCCGTGCCCCAAGGCAGAGTCCAGCAATTTGGGCACCTGTGTCAGGCAACCTATATTAGTTTTCATCTCTGCCAAGAGATAATGCACAGCCCAGCCAGCCTAAAATACTTTACAAGGCAACAGGGGACAATCGTTTGTTGCTGCAAAAACTCATTTTGTCCTCAGCTATTGGGAGAATGGCAGCTAAGCTTAGAAGAAACAAGACATTCTGAGTGGGTTGGCAGATGATTGGCGCACCTGCTAATAAAAAAGTGCCAGCGCTACCCCCCTGCAAGCGTTGGCCTCACTACCCCACTGGGACTGTTTGCACAACATGAGAATCCACTTATTTAGCCAGGCTGTGGGTTATTTGAGGCCACCGTTTGAAATCAACAGCTCCTGCTTACCCCTGTTTGTCTGCTTTAGGAAGATGCAAGGTGGTTAAACCATGCAGCTCATTATGGATTAAGTAGCCCATGATAAACCTTGTTTCTGTCCATCTGTCTTCAGTGTCTGGGGTTTCTGGCAAGCTCACTCTCTGTTTCTGCTGCCACCACTCCTTCCCCAACCTCCATCCCATCTATCCCAGTGTTTCCTGTCAAACCAGAGAAAAGCCTGTCACATCCTCAGGACTCTTCCATTCCATTAAGAAGTGTGGGTGGGACTGCTCCTCTCTTCCCTTTCCCAGGATATGGGATTGTCATTGTTGTCATTGTTTACATTTCCTGCCATTAACCTATCCCTTCACGCCTCTAATCAACTATTGCCCCCATATCTCTGTGGCCCCAGGATCCACTTCATAGTAACTTCTTGGCCTCCCCTTGTGAAGTGATTGGCCCAGCTGGTCAAGAGGGACCGGCTCATTCTGCACCTCAGTCCTTGCTCCTGGGCAATTGTCCATATAGATTTTCTTAACTGTTAGGAAATGGCATGTAAGAGCTGGCAGGAGATGCCCCACAGGCATCCTGGGCAAAGCTCCCAGGGGTCTTGGCTCCCACTTGCCCCTCCCTGCTCCCACCTCTTAGGACCCACGTCTATAGGAGGCAGGGATGCAGCTCGCGAGTGGGCCTTGGTGGGTTCAGTTCTGCTTCCTCCGTCCATGCAGGCACAAGCCCATGTCTGGGTAAGGGGTGGTTGTGATGGCAGTAAGTGTGACCGGTGTCAGAAGAAGATCAAGAGCTTCCAGAGCCTGACAGGCATGCACTGTGCCTGGTGCCATCAAAAGGTGAGTCTGCCCTCCACTGCTCACGGGGACACTGGCGTCGGGAGCCCCGGGCAGTTCTTCCCCGTTGTTCATGTTCTGCAGGTTATAAGCAAACTTCCTCTCCTCCCTCTCATGGCTGGGACAGAGGGAACGTGTGCCTGCTCAGTCGGAAGCCTGTGCGGGTGAAATGGCCCCTGCTCTCTTGGGTACCGGGGGCTCCCTGAACCCTCGCTGCCTGGTTACTTGCGGCCAAAGCAGGCTAAAACACACATTAAAAGGGTGTGTCTGGCAGCTACGTTTTGTGTTCATTTTTATTCTAAAATAGTTTCAGGAAGACCTATTATGAGGGGTAGGGGGCCTTCCAAGATCTTGATTGGGGGGTGCACCTACTCTAGAATAAAAATAAGATGTGGCTGCTAGACACAAATTTATAGTCATGCCTGTTTTGGCCTCTTCAGCCTTCTCTTTCTCTGTCTCTGTCTCTGTGTGTGTGGGTTGGCGGGGAGTAAAGCAACTTGCCTGAAGGCAGCTGAGATGCTCTGATACCAAAGTCATTATGAGAGGTGAGGCTTCAGCTGAGCCTAGAACGGCTAGTTCCTGTAACCCACCGTCTTGGGGAGGGAGAACCCGGTGGCCCTCTGGCCTGCTGCGCATGCTCAGATGTGACAGACTCATCAAAGCGCACAATGGAGTCAGTGGGGCAGAAAATAGGAGGAGGCGGACGGACGGGAATTGCGAGATGGCGCTGGGGAAATGCAGGTGTGGAGGAGCAATTTTATTCCACTCCCAGGAAACTCAGGGGTTGGGTGGTAATGGAACAGGAAAAACATAAGGATGGTGTTCATAATAGAGTTTCAAGAATACCAGACTTCTACTGGGGAAGCTGATTATTTCTGCCAGAGTTTCTTATCTCTCTCTGCTGCTAATGTGGAGGGTCAATTAACTACTCAGCAGAGGTGTTCCTTCAGTGGGTGGGTGTATTGAGCTCAAAAATGCAGCACCATGGCAAGACTTCCTGGCAGGTACAATCCTTGTAAATTTAGCGTTGTTTCAGACACTACCCTTTGCTCATTTATAAAACTAAAAAAAATAAAAAATGAGTAAAACTTAGTAAAATTTCTAAGCACATTTTACTGGATTATAGTTCTGAAATGAGCTAAATAGTTTAGGGCCACCCAGCCTGTCACAAATCCTGCATAGGCTCTGTCATGCCTTCAGCACAATCCTACATGACTCTACTCCGAAATAAGTCTAGCAGTGAGTGCAAACAGAACTTAAGCCCTGATAAACATCATTCCCTACAAAAGAATGCCTTCATTGAGGAAAATCCCTTCCATCACCTCCTGAAATGTGGCCAAGGTTCAGTCTTCTGTCCTTGAGTGGAAGAACATTGCTGAACTGAGGAATTTACTTACGTACTTCGCTAAAGCAGCCACTATTCCGAGGGCTGATGCATGTGTGGAGAGCAGCGTTCTGTGTCACAAGCACCCCTGAGAGAAGCATGGAAGCAGACTGCGCCCCATTGCAGTCTCAGTGAGAAGCAGCCTGCCCAACCTTGCCATGTGTGGCAAGTTTTGCCCTCCCTGCAAGAATCTCCCGAGGTCTTTTAGAGGGAGCCCCACAGAGGGGCTCCGAGAGACATCGTCGGCAGGGAGCCTAAACCTGGCGGTCCTGCCCACTGAGAACTGGACTTGTTCCTCCTGAACAGCTGTGCCCAGTGCTCCTTTCCACAGTCATGCTGCCGTGTATCTAAAGCCAGTTCCTAAAAGTGTATCTGCATATTAGGTAGAACCGCCATCTCAGGGACAAGGCAAATGATACGCAAAACCAGTGACGGCACTTGGTGTACCTAGTTTCTCTTTCTCAAAGAAAGCCAGCTCTTGTAAGGGGTTGAGCAGGACCTGTGCTGCGGTGCATTTTTATTTATTTATTTTATTTATTAAAACATTTTTATGCCGCCCCATTCGCCGAAGCCTCGGGGCGGCCCACATTTGACAGTAACCCCCCCCCACCACCACCACAACCCATGGTCCTGATTTTAAAAATTGTCCCCCACCCAAAAGCTGGTATCGACTCCAGTGAGGAAGTTGCCATTCACAATGCTGGCAGCAGATGTGGGGCACTATTTTCGCTGGGACTGCAATACGAATTGAAGATTTAATGCTCTGCATGCCACGATCCCAGTTCTGATCGAGCTCCACTGCACTTAGCATTGATTTTTTTAAAATAAGACATACTCAGTATAATATATAAAGTAATATATAAAGTATATACTCAGTGTGTGTGTGTGTGTATAAGGTATAACTGCCTTTCTTACATTGTCTGGTCTGCTCCTCAGTTGATCCATGATGGCTCTCTCTCTTCCTTGCCCCTGCCCTGCGCTAATATAATTTTTTATTTTGCTTCCCAATGCATACATGAGTAACAGCTATCTTCTGCAGAATGAAATTTCAGTCTTTCAGAAAATTCATTTTACCAGTTAAATGTGATGGCTAGGTTTGTCTTGCTTCATAGTGCAGGGGGCAAAATTGTAAGCCGCCATCCCAAAGGGAAGGGATGAGGTTGTGTTTTCCATGTGTGATGGTTCCTCTCTCCCGTGTTGGTCTTTTGGGGGCCTAATGTGGCTCCGGAAGAGCTCTGCCTGACTCTTGCTGTGCCTCTTGCTCTCCTCCCCAGATCCATGATGAGTGCCTGCCCCTCATGCCCTCCACCTGCGATTGTGGGATCCTCAAAGACCATATCTTGCCACCTTCCGCAATCTACCCTGTTGTGTTGGTGAGAACAAGGAACTCATTGGGACATGTTGCCCGTGCCAAGATAGGTGTGCATGTATGTGTGTGTGAGTGTGTGTATGCACAGGCACACTGGACGCAAAGGACAGGCCTGAGAGTGGTGCTCGAAGCACCCGTGCACACCGGCTGTGCACTGGCAATCTTTTCCAGGCAGTATTTAGAGCAGTCTTTGCCCATTGTGTACATGTCAGCTTATTATGTTCTATCACAATATCTGCACAAGCAGTTTTGAATGTTCTCATTTCGCTGTAACCTGGATAAGCAAAGCTCAGCCTTCGACAGGCAGTCGGCGCTGCTGCTGCTGCTCCTCCCCCTCCTCCACATGTTTGGATGCAACCCTCCTTTTGGAGAACGCCCATGGTGTGTATCACGATTCTCTTTCCACCCCCACGCTCCAGGTAATTTTGGCACTGCAATTACTAAAGTTTTTAAAGCGGCATTTCCGTTCAGCGGGTCTGTGGAAGGGTGCAGCCTGAGCAGGTGTGGAGAGCATGCATTTCCCTCAGGACTGAAACTGGCCAGACCAGATGCTGCTTGTGATCTTGGGTGCACCCAGGCAGATGGCGAAGGGACATGTATCACATTTCTGGCAAATGGGTACATTTCAGGATCAGGAGGAATCCGTTGTTTTTTTTCCTGGTTTGCACAGCAGAGTTGCACTGGTTGGTGGGTTCCTGCATCAAGTCATGAAGCAGCTTCCCCCCTCTTCTCAGAGCAGGGCTGTGAAGTGCACAGGTTGACTTGCCCACAGTGTCACCTTTTCTCCTCGCCTTTGAAAAAGGAGTTAAAAATACTTCAAGAACATAAAATGCTGAACAATTTTTTAGAGTGCTTCCAGGTAAGACTTCTATGGTGCCAGCACTCAGCCACATTCGCAGAATTTTGCAGGGGTTTCAGAAGTTGCTATCTTCTGCTTGTAACCTGCTTTGTTTTTCCCCTGCTCCTTTGGCCTCTCCTTTTTTGTATTGCAGAATATCCACCAAAGAAGAGGGGATAGGACTATTAGCACCCCTCTGTCTGAAAGCACCTCTGTCAGGTAGTCGGACAGGTGCTTGGGGAGAAATGACCTACATACCAAAGTACATGGCCTGCCTGAAGCATGGGAGGAGAGGCAACCATCAGGTTTTGCTCAGGAAAAGGGCATGTTTGTCTTGTTACAGGCAGATAAACAAGTTCCTTGAGAGCTTACTGAGTACACGCCAAAGGAGAAGCAGGAGCAGGCTGCCAGTCCTGGAAACACAGCCACCAAGAGTGCATGTATGCGCACGTGTGTGTTTGGTGTGTGTGTGGGGGGCTTTGTTTGGTGTGTGTGTAGGGGGCTTTGCAAAGCTGATCTCAGTCATTTGCATCTGAGGGTTTCCATCCAAGTAACAACCTTCCCTTTGGCGTCATTTCCCCCACTGATCCTTGTCCCTTTTGTCTTCCAGGAGCGGCAGAACAGTCAGAAGAATGGCATCTGTGGGACCCCTTCCGAAGAGCCCGCTCAGCCCTTTACCACCCCCGAGGGACAGGCATTGCGGGTGAGCTGGGCACAGCAGGGAGGGTGTTGCCAGGCCCCGGCCTCCTCCTGCCAGCGTGCTGTTGGCACTGAGGACCCGTGTGGCCTGAGCGCCACATGCTCTTCAGTGCAAATACGGGGAGCTCAGCGAGTTGGTCAAGGAATAGCTGAAGCTTCCCTTGCTCTCAGAACTGTTTTCTCATGTGGGAACCAGAAGCATTTTGGGGTTCCCCTTCTGCACAGCTGCTTTTCCACGCCACTCCCCACCTCTGGGGAAAAAGGTGACGGGTTCCTTTCCTCCCTCTACAGATGGAGAAGCAGCTTTGGATATGGCAATTCTGAAGGCAAAAATGTCCAGCATGGAAGGGGTGAAGCAGCCCTTCATCCTGCTGTTTGCTTACGTCAGGGATGGGGAACACATTTTGGACTGTAACCCCCATCATCCCTCACCATCGGTTATGCTGGCTAGGGCTGATGGGAATTGCAGTGCAGCAATATCTGGAGGGTCGTGCCTGGCTTGATCCCACAGCCTTTTCTTTTGTTGTGTGAAACCCCTCTGAGGAGTGCTCCAGTCTCAGCAGCACATAACGGGCCTGTTTGCATAAGCACAGAAGGGGAAGTCAGCCACCCCGGCTTCTTCCCCCTATCTTGCCCCAGCTATGTGTGCCGGGAAGATTCGCCTAACGCAGCTTGCCTTGCCAAGCAAGCATGGCTGCTTGCTGCGGTTAACAAGCCACTTGGAACCCTAAAACAGCCCCTGCAATATGGGTGGCTTGCTAGCCATGGCCACAGACCACCCTCACTAGGCTCCCATGACGTGGCAACCTGCACTGGCACGGGTGGCCAGTCCTGTTGGCACATGCCGCTGTGGCTTCCGTCCTGCTGCGTGCTGGTGCAAGGCTAGTCACTGTCTAGTCTGACATCCTATCAGGGGCCTCGATTTTAACCCTCATCTGCCTTCTCCTTTGGAAAATTCCTCTTCTAGGGAGTTTCTGAAATGTAACAGATCCTTTAGTGATCGGTAGGTGGCAAAACAGCCACTCAGTCAGACCCTCAACAGCTGCTGCCTGCTGGAGAGTAGCAGATTTGTTGGGCAAGGGGGATCAAGTGCACCAGAACCCTCTGGGGTGAATGGTTTTTGTCATTTTGCTGCAAAATGAAAGTGAAGGATCCCTGGTTATTTTCTGTATTCAGATTCCCCAAAACCTTGGCATTTTCCTGCAGAAGGCTGTTAATCTGCTTTATCTGCTTTTAGTTTTGTCACAAAGCCGAGATCTAATGAAAAGCATTTCCTTTCCAGCTTTTCCCCTGCATAACCTCGAGGTTGCACTATGGTATAGCAGAATAGGAAATACACAAGTAGAAATGCTGGGGGGGGGGGTTGCTTCTTGGAATACCACCTTTTCCCAGCTCTAAAACATAAGTATAAGCAGATGGTTACACCTCCTCTAGGACTTCCTCCTTTAAGATCTGGGTAGGAGGTCCTTCTGAAGGAGCTGTCCTTCAAGAAGGAGGTGAAAGGGACAGCGAATAGAAGAAGGCCTTTTCAGTGACTGTCACTCATTTATGGAATAGTCTCCCCAAAGAAATCAGCCTAGCACCATCATTCTCTTTGTTTCCGCACCAGGCAAAGATGTTTCTCTTTTCTCAGTATTTTAACTATTGATTTGAATTAGATCTGTTACCCTTTTGTGCCATCTTGTTGTCCTGCTTACCTTATGTAATTTTAATGTTTAATGATTATGTTGTTATGGGTTTTATATATAGTTGGTTTTATTATTGTTACGGTTTTAGTATTTGTAATGTTGACTCTATTGTAAGCTGCCTAGAGAATATTTGTGGACTAGTGGGTTGCACATATATGTAAAAATACAAACAAACAAACAACAAGTCACAAGAAGGTATTGACAAGTGCACCATAAATCCCCTTTGTCAAAAAGCTCTTATAGATCAGGGGCTGAGAAGAAAAAAACGTGAGAGTTTAAATCAGTTTGAACTTGTTACATAGTCATGCCTGCACTGATCCTGACATTTGTCATGTGCTGTCTGATGTTCACAGACTTCTCTGAAGAGAAGGCTCATAGGGAAGGGAGGAGCTGCGATTGTGGGGGTCCAATTTCTGCCATACCCTGCCAAACCTGTATGTCTGTTTCTCCACCCTCCCCTGTGCTGCTGAACCCTACAGCCCTTTGCTTGCCTCAGCAGTGGGCCACCACATCTGGCAACTGGTCAGGCTGCTTTCTTAGCCTTTTCCTTGTTTCCATCCCTCTTTCCACAGATCACTCCAGTGCCTGACACTCACCCCTTGCTTGTCTTTGTCAATCCCAAGAGTGGTGGGAAGCAGGGAGAGAGGTGAGCAGGGAAAAGGGGTTCCAAGTATGGGTGTGGGGAGAGGCTACGGGTATTTTTCTGGTTTCTGTGTCTTACAATCAGTGCCAGTTTTGCTTTGGCGGGTTATTTTCAGAAGGCTTCTTTTCAACAAATGAAGGTTTCCAGTGTTATATAGAAAATCCAAGAGTGGGCAGTCTTTATTTCCTACAACTTAGAAAGCATTTTCTTTTCATTGTCAGAGGAAGCACGGGCAAGACTAATGCACAGGATCAAAATGAATAGCCATGAACAAAATGTGATAGTGCTGGCAGGGACCTGTTAAAAGTGCTTTGGGCTGCAGATCTGACCTGTGAGACACCTGGGGATCCAGTCACCTGTAATCTGGTCCCAGAGCGGGCTTTTCTGGCTAAGCCTGGGACTTCACTGAAGTGACTTCTGACTGACCACCTTTTGTCCTGTCTTATTGGCAGGGTGCTGCGGAAATTTCAGTACCTCCTCAACCCACGACAGGTCTACAACCTACTGAAGGGAGGGCCTGGACCTGGGTGAGTCGCACTGAAGCTCGGGACATGTTTATATTGTTTTCCTGCTGGACACGTGTCTGTGTTCATGTGTCCTTTGTAGACTGAAGGTTAAAGGAGGCTGTACTTGAGAAGTGTGTGTGCTGGACAGGGTGTTCACCAGCTGAGTTGGAAGAACTGGATCTGTGTAGCAGGGTGCCTGGGGATTGGGGCAGAAACTCCTGCAGAATCAGGTGCTAAACTGTTTTGTGCATCTGTCTGCTTTTTGTCCCAGGCTGAATTTTTTCCGGGATGTGCCAGATTTCCGTATCCTGGTATGCGGTGGTGACGGAACTGTGGGATGGATCTTGGATGCCATCGGTATTGATTGATTGATTGATTGATTGATTGAGTGTCACAAAACAAAACCAAATCACACTTCGAAGAGTGAGGAAAAATCTTATTCAAAATAATCACAATATTTTAGCCATTGGTATCTCATTGAGAAAGATTAAAAGCCAATTCAGGAACTTTGTTTTTGAGTCAAAACACTGACATCATTTGAAAGAGTTGATTATGTACTATCTTCCTAGCAGCTGGCTGCAATCCAACATCATACTCCTGTTGAATGCAAATAAAGGAACAGTGCCAAAGCTTCAAATTCATGCACAGATGATTGTGCTTTTCATGTTCTTTTCAGATAAAGCCAATCTACCAAGTCGGCCTCCAGTAGCTGTGTTGCCTCTGGGAACTGGCAATGACCTAGCCCGCTGCCTCCGCTGGGGTGGGGGTGAGTTGCATCCACAAATAGTCTTGCATCTCTTCCTCTGCTAAGAACCCGGGCACTGGCTAGTCAAGCCACTGGAATGCTGGGAGCTATAGGATAAAAATCTCCAAGCATGCATAGCATTGTGCCCCTAGTTATGTAGTGTTTTAGCTATACCCTTGAACATAACTAGTGAAGCCATTTGATTATAGCAAAGTAGAGATTCTGACGGTTAAAAGAACTAATGGGACTATTTATTTATTTAAAACTTCAATATCCTGTCCACTACTTTGATGTCTCAGGACAGCTTACAACAAAGACTAGGCAGTTTTTTTATTCCCCCCTGCAGTTTTAGATTCTATATATGAATTTCATGGCATGAAATGCTGTTTTGTTCCTTTAAAACACCCCTCCCCCAAATTGCTTCTGCAATTTATGAGTTCAGAATGCTTTGCATGGAGCTTTAGTACTAATAGCTCATCTGCTGTAATATGGTTTTAGCACGCAGAGTGAGGGATTCTAGTTGAGACAAGCTGGCCTCCTCATAAGGTTCACCGTACTACTTCATGCGAGGATGACCCCACATTTACTTCTCCTGTCTGATACATTCTTTCCTCCTCAGGTTACGATGGTGAGAATCTGGTGAAGATACTGAAAGATATTGAGGCGAGTAGCATCTTGCAGATGGACCGCTGGTCAGTGCAGGTGATCCCTGATAACCCAGATGAAAAGGGTGACCCCGTCCCCTATGAGATCATCAACAACTATTTCTCTATTGGTGTAGTAAGTACGGAGTGGGAAAAGGTGACCCTGCGTTCAGGCTTGTGTGGGCAGATATTTTCTCTGTGCGTGTCCTGTGGAAACGGGAGCTGTGAAGTCTGCGCTCTCTTAAGCTTAAGGCCGCAATTCCATGGTGGGTGGGATTAAGGCAAAAATGGGTGGGCCAAAAATACCAGCATATTTTTCTTAAATCTCTTGCCCTAGTAACTAAGCCTACAGTGAAGCATTACAGTATTTCAGAATAGGGAAGAGAGTGTAGAACATCGGGGACACTACCCAAGAATGGGTGGTCAGAGAGACGGGGTGGGGCCAAGGGAAGGAGGTGCGGCTGTCTGGAGAACCCTGTGGTCCAGATTTGCCCCCCGGGCCTGAGGTTTTCCCCCTCCCCAGCGTAGGGGAGCAGGACGTGGGAGATCTTTGGCAAGAGGGGCTCATGCAATAGCAGACATCTGGGAGGAACTTGAGGGGGCATGTCAGGAGCTGAGAGAAAAGGGGAGGAGAGAAAGCTTCAGGTTTGCATCATGTATAGGTCCAGCTCTGGAAGAAGCATGGAACTGCTACTCTCCTCCCACCCCATTGTGCTTGTTTGCCTCCCTACCTCATGAACGGCTGTTCATCCTCTGTCTCTCTCTATCTCATCAACTCTTGCTGCAGGATGCCTCCATTGCCCACCGGTTCCATGTCATGCGGGAAAAGTACCCAGAGAAATTTAACAGCAGGTTAGCTCAGCACCAGTGGGGCCCTTAGCCTTGTTCTGATGCCTGGCCAGAGCCTCTCCAAGGCTCACTTTGCTGCCCCGGCATCCACCCTCCACCTCCGGAGCCAGCGGCTGCACCTGGCTCTTGGAACTCCTCCTGTGCAGGAAGCTCCACCACTGGGAAGGTCCCAGACTTCTTTGCCCACTGCCGCGCTTGCTCCTCCGAAAGCCTGGGTGGGAGAGCCGGGGACCGACAGCACAGTGGGACCTCTGGAGAGGCTGGAGTGGTTGGGCTGTGGCAGGGGATCCCTGCAGGCGGCACGACTTAGGCTGCCACTGCCTGCCCTTGGCTGAGGCCTCCTGGGAGAAGCAGGCCTGCAGTGCATCTTCCATGCGGGTTGCCTTTTCTCCTTGGCCAGGATGAAGAACAAGCTCTGGTATTTTGAGTTTGCCACATCTGAGACCATCTTCGCAACATGCAAAAAGCTCAAGGAGTGTCTGTCTATAGAGGTGAGCATCTCCTTGCTGATGATCTTTTAGCTCAGTGAAGAGAGGTGGGATCTTGTTTCTGGAACCAACTTGCCTCCCTCCGCCTTTTCCTGCAGTGAGCTCTGCTATGGATTGATTATTAGCACTGGGACTTCCTGTGCATGCCAAGGCTCGGTCCTGGCATTTGCAAAAGATGTTGCTTCTGAGCATGTGCAGAGTGTCCACCAGTAAGTAGCCAGAAGCATCTAGGAGCTTCCATTTGGGACTAGGGCTTCCATAGCAGATAACACAACCACCAAGCAGGCTTCAGCCAAAGTCCTTTTGATTTTTTTGTTTTTGAGGAAACATTTTCTCTCCCCCTCCCATCTTTCCATGATTATACCACCCTCCCTGCTATGACTTCATCATGTTGCCCTCCCTCCATCCTGCCCCTGCTCCTTGCCAGGAATGGCCCTCCCCCTCAGGGTCGTGTGTCAAAAGCCAGTTACTGGGTCACTCAACTTCTTTTTCCACACGCTTCTCCTCTGCACCACCCAAGTGCTGCGGGCAGCCCCTTGACCTCAGTGGAGCACTTTCCGGAGTAGCTATCCTCAACATTCCCAGCATGCACGGTGGCTCCAACCTCTGGGGTGAGACCAAAAGGCCTTTGGGGGAGGCAGCAGCGCGAAGCACGGCAGGGAGAGCCGCCCAGCCCCAGGTCATCACTGATGCGGAGACCCTGAAGAACTGCGTGCAAGGTGAGCCGAGGACACAGAGCTGGCTTTGGTGGGCCAGGCTAGTGGGTTGCCGTGGATGGGAAAAGCAGGAGCGGACATGGAAGCGGGGAGGAATGGGATGCATGTTTATAGGCAGCCGGCTGGCTTGGGAAGGCCAGGCTTCACTCTGGTGCCTAAACTCCTGAAAGGGGTCTTGCTAAGGAAGTCAGCACGGGCATGGATGTCGCCAAGGTCCTCAGTTGTCTCCGCCCTGCAATTCCTTCCCATCCAGACCTGAGTGACCGGCGGATGGAGGTGGTGGGCCTGGAGGGCGTGATTGAGATGGGGCAGATCTACACGGGACTGAAGAGTGCAGGCAAGCGGCTGGCCAAGTGCTCTGAAATCACACTGCGGTGAGTAGCTGTCCAACTCACGGCCACTTGGAATGAGCAGGAGACGTCCCCGGGCCACCCCTCCACCCTTCCCAGCAGGCAGCACAGGCTTGCGGCAGCTTCTGCACCAGGAGCTCCCCCAGCCCTCGGACTTGGCTCCGGGGCACATGAGCACACCCTGGCAGTGCTTCTGTGCTTGTGCGGAGTGCCTTTGTTGCGGCAATTAACTCCTCTTAATGGGAATGATTCACAGGCTGAGCTGGCTCCGTATAATAAGTGGCCTTCGGCAAGCCAGTGTCCCTCTGGGGATCATCCAAATGGCCTGCCTGACAGGGCTGTTGTAAGGACTGTGGGGGTAATATTTGAACAGAAAGTCCTATATAAATGAGTAGGTAGACATAGTAATAGTATCGACTGGCCAAACCTCAGGCACCCCCTGGCTAGGATTTAGATCGCTTTGCTTGCAAAGTCCAATTATCGGCGAGGAGAATGGATATGCCCTCCTGCATGCTTTCATGCTGGCTTCCCTCCATTTCATTTATATTTAATTCTAACATCTCGGGATGGTTTACAACAAACACACATTTTCTTTCTGCCCTCTTGCAGAACCCTCAAGCACCTCCCCATGCAGATTGATGGAGAGCCTTGGATGCAGGCCCCATGCACGGTAAGCACCAGCAGGACCATCCTGGCACTTGCCCACGGTGCTGTTGGTAGAGCAGAGTTTGGACTTCCTGGGGGCACTGAGCCCTGGCCCCGTGATGGATACAGCCGTGTCTGGAAAATCCTGAAGCTGCGGTGCTTTCAGTGGCTCTGCATTACTACTTCCACTGATGTGGAAGCTGCATTTTAGCTTCACCAAAAAGCAGTGCAGCTGGGGAGTGGTTCCTCTGCCCAGCTGTCTGAGCCATTTTTCGCACTAGTTGAGGAAAGACCCAGGTCCTCCTGCTTTAAGTGTTGGCACACCGTTGTTCTGTATGTGCATTTTCAGATCAAGATAACCCACAAGAACCAGGCCCCGATGCTTATCGCGCCTCCTCCCCGATCCTCCAGCTTTTTTGGCCTCAAGAAGGGACCGCAGGAGCCTTAAAACGGTTTCCGTGCCTCTCGGGGAACTGCTGTCTCCACAGTGATGCACCGCCTGGGCTTCTGCCAGGACAGCGAGGTGTTCTGCCCTATGGGGGACTCTGGATCCATCACCTGCACACACGGCCACGGGGCCTGAGACAGGCTTTCTGCAGCCTCAGACTTGACGAGCTCACGGGGGGCGGGGGCGGCGGGGGCTCTACTGCCACCAGATCCTTTGCTTCTACCACACAGACCAGTCTGGTCTGAGGAAGGGGAACTCGGGCCCAGGCCTTGGTAGGTCTTGCAGTGCCCGGCCCGCGGAGGTTGCGCCTCAGGCTGCCGGCCTGTGCCAGTAACCTCTTAGTGTGTGGATGCCAATTGCCTCCTCCCTGGTCTGCTGAAAGGCCCTGCTCACTGCTGGCTCCTGCCCGCCTGATTTTGCCCCTTGTAGAATTGTACCCCCTGCACTTGAGGCAACTACTGAGAGACTGTGGTGGCGCCGGCTCTGCTCTTCCACTTCTCCTCCCCTTTTATTTATTGCAACTCCATTCCAAGTCCTCCACGTAGAGTTATCAGAAGTGCCTCAGCATATAGTAATAAAGGACTGGGCTTGGATTTTTTTCCTCTTCTGTTCTAGCCGGTTTCTTTGGATGGGGCAGGCACTGAGCCTGGACTATGGGCTTCCGGGGCTTAAGGTAATTTCACTGTGTTGGCCACACCTCACATAAGCGAGAACAAACTCCTGTTCTGTTGAGAGGTGTGGGTAGGGTGCAGAAAAGAACCATATTTGCGCATGCAAGGGTGTGTGCAGACACAAGCAAAATTACTGTGCCCTGCAGCGCACCTCTTGTGCAGTCCAGGGTGGGCAGAGAGCAGGCCTCCAGATGTTTTGAACTTCAGCTCCCAGAAACCCCCAGCCAGCATGAAAAGGAATGCCGGAAGCTGAAGTGCAAAGCAGCTGGAGGCCTGCTCTCTGCCTGCATCTGGTATGGCAGAACCCAGCAGGTAGTCCACTGTTTTGCTGCTCTTGGGATTGTATCTCCAAGCCTCAGGCATGCCTGTGTTGGCCTGCGACTCTGATATGCTTGTCCTGTGACACGCTGTTTACTTGCGAGGAGCTCAAGCGTGGAACAATTCACTTCGGTAAAGCAAAGGACCCAAATCGCAGACCCGCATAGTTCATCCGCTATTGTTCTGTCAATGAAGGTGTTGAACTTGAAGCTTTCCTGCTCCCTCCAGCTGCTGCACACAAGCAGGCAGCAGAAGTTTGTGCAGAAAGAACCCAAGGCCAGTTGCCTTTCCTGATCTGCTCTCAGATCCAACATGCCCTCGCAACCCTTGGACCCTATACAAAAAAATAAAGTTTGGGACCAGTGGGAGTAACTTCATGGTGCTGTCTCAGATCCCGCATTGGTAGCTTGTTAACTGTATAAATACAATTCAGGACAGGAACAGGGTCCTTGGAAAAGCAGGATTGCTAGAAAAGGCTTCACAGATAAGAAAACAGAGCAATGGATTGTCCTAATTACTAAGTGAGCCTCCTCTCTTGCTTCCATTCTGCTCAGTGGTGTGGTGAAATTGTCGAAATGAGTTTACCAAAAGTTTGCTTTTTTAAAAGATCTATCGAGTTAACTTTACTCCCAAGGGAATCTGTGTATTTGTCAGAGGAGAAAAGAGCAATGTGCATCCATGCCATCGTGTGCAACAAACCTCTACAAAAGTTTCAAAAATATGCTAGGCATTATTGCAAAAGGGAAAAAATATAAAAGTTATTATCCAGAATTGCCTGCATTCATCAGACAACCAGTGCCATGTCCACGTATTTCAGTGCCATCTCTAGCACTTCTGGAGATGGGTTTTAGCAAACTTCTGTAAGAGCCCTGCTGTTTGACTGGCGAGTGAAATTTGGCACAGGGTGTACTTGGAGACAAGACTTATATGCGGGAGGCATCCTGCCCCATTCATGGAATTTTACCAAGTGTTGGGTTGCAGTATCCAGAGGACATTATTCATTTGTAGTTCTCCTGTGCTTTTTGCCTTTTCCCTTCCATTGTGTAGAATCCATTGAGAAAGCAAAGTTGGAATGGCTATGTTGTCCTCCTTCCTGTTTAGCTATAGGACCCAGTAGGAAGCACCCACATCATAGGCAATGACACACGCTTGTAGGTCCAGAGACTCAGAGAGATGGTGCACATAATTGGGAATGCCTTTCACCAGCTCTGTCTGGGGCTGGGGGGAGGTTGCTGTTCCTTCCAGATTTAGATCCATCATTCATTCCTTGGTTGGATGGTGGTATTGTGCTCTGTTTTGAAATGGATCAAGAGCATGATCAGAAGATCCCCTACATGCTTTCTTTCTTAAATCTTGTGGGTAAACACTGCAGCTGCAGGTCATGGAGTCCTGCATTGAGCGGGATGTTGGACTTGGTGGCTTTATAGGCCCCTTTCAGCTTTACTATTTTATGATTCTGGGGAGTCATACACACAATTGTAACCCCCTTTCTACTGCAAAGCATCCATAGAAGAGGAGCATGTTGTAGCAAAGCTTGGATAGAAAAGGAAGGGGGGCTTAACTGTTTTCCTGCTAGGCCACTTTCAGGGGTAAAGTTGTTAGGCATGGGAAGAGTAAGGCACTGCTTTCCTCTAAATGCTCTCACACATGGCCTTTCCTCCTCCTCCTCCTCCTCCTCCAGTGCAAAAAACAAAACAAAACAAAAAAACCTCTTGGGGAATTTACAAGAAAGGCTTGTATTAGACACAATTGCAATGTATCTTTGCCACAAAGCTGACTTTGACCTAGACAGGCAGAAACTGCCCCAATTTCTTTGGAGGATGCCAAAGATCTTAAGACTCTGTTTTAAGATCTAAGGATCACTTCTGAATGGTTAAGGCCATTCCACATTATCATTTCTGGAACCGTGAAAGTGTGATTGTTACTTACCTAAATGTTTTTCCTGAAGACAGGAGATTACACATGTACAGAGGTATTGAATGTAAGTGCTGTTACTTGTTTAGGGACTAATCCAAAGGAAAGAATGCAGTTTCTGGGTTCTTGTGTATCCAGGTTGTGATCCTAGGGATTAGCCCTTAGAAGTGTTAAATTAGCACACAAATACCTGTCTTAAGACTGCAGCCAACATGAGAGAACACCCTTCCCAACACCCATCATCCTCAGCATGGGCAATGTAGTGGTGGTTTTACATATAAGGAGGGTGCCAGGTCAAGGAAGGCTGCATTAAAATAACAGACTGGGACTGGGGAGATTCAGGTTCAAATCCACAGCCCCTTAGTTGTTTACAGCCTAAATGAGAGGGTAAAAGAAGTAGGGGAGAACCATCTGCACATTGTTCCCCTGAGTACTCCAAAGGAAAGGTAGGATACACGTGTAATAGCTACCATAATTAAGAAATCGACAAGTCATTTCAAACTATTTTAAAAGTAGAATCTGAGGTGGCCCCTTGCTGGCCAGGGAGGGGTGAGTTGAGACAACAGCAGGAGTAAGGCATGCTGGACTTTGTATGGAAACGTGGAGTGGTACTTTGAGGCCCATTGTTCACGATGGAGGAGGTGCTTTGAAGAACTAGCAGTGAGTGTGTTCTTTCCGTCCAGGCTTGCAGAAGATGGGGTGTTGGTTTCATGTTCTGAAATAAGGCTTGGGTCCAAATGCTTTCACCCTCTCTTGAGATTCTAGTACTGGATGAAGAGCAGGGGAGGCATTCCTGAGCTATACTGTTTGGAACAGAGATGCATCACTGCACTGGAAGGGACTACACAGTGCAGTGCAGCAGCTGCTTCCGTGAGTGTCTTTACACAAAGTTATTAATCAGCTGTTAATGGGCAAGCTGCCTGGGCCAGGTGGAGCTCCCTGATCTCCATGAAAGCTTTCAAATTAGGCCTTTTTTGCTGATTTAAGCAGCTAGGAGATCAGTTGTTGCTGACTAGAATCTCCTGCCTTTGTAATGCATCCCTTCCAATCTTGATTCAGTAGTTGGATAACTATGTAGAAGTAACTAAGTGAGGGACAGGAAAACTAGCCTCAGGAAGGGTAACCTTATCTTAGGGGGGAGCTGCTTTGCTTGCTCATTCTTTCAGCAACAGGTAATGTTTGTGGTAGGGCTGGAGAATACATAGCAACCAGAAGAATACCTGGGTCATAACAAGGTACAATGCTATGGGGAAATGCATAGTCTTGCAGTATGTCTTTTTCTGGATTGGCTACATGATCACTCATGAAGAAGTCCACCTGAGCACAGGAGGAGGGGCAGGACAGCTGAGCCAGCATCTTGTCTGATGTCATGTGCACCCATCATTTCAGCTGTGAAGCCAAGTGCACCCAGCAGCCTCAGAACCTGCTGTGAGCTCTGCTTCCCACATTAGCTTATGAGTTGGTCTATGACAAAGTACTTTTCTGTGTTGGAAACTGGTGTGGTAAGAGGCCTCCACCCTGACAGATCACGCATATCCACTGTAGAAGAGGTACCGTCTCCTCTTCTTGCTTTTCTTACCCCTTATTCAGAAATGTAGAACCGCAGGTAACCCAGTTACTTCTGCAGGCCAGGACGCCTTTTGCTGAACCCTGCCAAACATTTTTCCTCTACGTTCTCAATCACCCCAGTTTGCACACAAGCCTACAGGGCTGTGGGAATGGCAGACTCTCCCAGATCCTCCCACCTTTATTACTCTCGTGCACTTTCCCATCCTCAGAGTCAGATGTCCATCTTTCTTCAGGAGAAACCTGTTCCACAGGAAGCAGCACCCAGGTCCCCTCCCTTCTCCTCTCCAGCCCCTCCAACACCCAGGCAGGCTTCAGTCACTTCTCTCCCTCGCCATCCTCTTCCTCTGGCCCTCCCAGGGGCCTTTCATGACCACACGCATCGGTGCCTGCTCCTGTGGAGTATGGTACAAGAATGTGGCAACTGGAAGCTCTATTAGAGCTGGAAACCTCCAACTTGATTATTCTGTGAAACCCACCTATGAGTGATGTGGCATGTAGTGTTGACCGGTGCGGAATTCTGGATTATACCACTTTAGACAATGAGTAGGGTGTCATATTTCTAAACCCCCCTCGCCACATTAGAGGCTTGCACAACATACTAAATACACTGGGGAGAAGCACACATTCATTTCATACAGAAGAGAACTTTCTTAAGATGAACAAGCCTTGAAATAAGGAATTCCCTCTCCTCTGTCCCCCTTCGGTGTCTGAAGTGGTACAGTCAGAAATCCTACAGCTCCATTGAGGCAGACCAGGGTGTCGGGCTCCTTGCTGAATGGACACAGCTGCAGCCCCACTCAGGAAGGTACTGAGATAGCACCATCAAGGATTCTCAGTGTTTACTTAGCGGGAATTTAAAAAAGAACAACAACAATGCTGCCGGGGAGGGGGTCAGCTTAGGGGGAAGAAGAACTGCAGGGGAGGACGCTGCCTCCTTTCCCAGTGTGGGCTCCATGAAGCACCTGGTCTGTGGATGGCCAGGCAAGGGACCCTTGGCATTCATCTCCATCTTCAGATCACGTGGCCACTCAGGAGTGGGCTGCTTTCCCCACTGGCCCCTTGCCCAAAAGCCTGGCGTAGGAAGAGGCGTACACTGGTGCGGTCAGGCAGCCATCTCCTGGGAGAGGTACCAGAGGACATCACTGCACGTAGAGGGGTGTATTTTACATGCCTGTAATGAAAAAATGTATGTTTAAAAGGGGCAAATGAACTCAAGTAGCTCACAATTCCTTAGACTGGTTCATTGTTCTGTCCTTACTAGGCATGCTGGATTGCAGTACCTGTGGCTGCCAGTTACTGATCCAAATCCAACCCCAGTGGCTCCTCATTATGTGCAAACCAGACAAGGGTAAACTGTTGGGATGCTCAACAACCCACCTGGAACCCATGGACTATTTTAGGGTTGTAGGTGGCTTGTCACTTTGATGCAGCTACTCTGGGCCATGGATAGGCAGCCTATTGTCCTCCAAATCTTTCAGGCTACAGCTCCCATCAGCCCCATCCATCCTGACCAGTGGTCAGGGGTTATGGGAAATTGTCCTCCAAAACATCTGAAGGGCAGCAGGGTGCCTCCCTCTGCTCAGCGCCTGCCTGCCTGCCTGTGTTCCATGTGGCTGGGCAAGTACTCACCTGTAGGTATAGACAACCGCACCCAAGGCAGCAGCAACTAGGACTAGGCCCACCACTAGTGAAACTTGGGCTGAAGCTGAAGTTCTTCCTGCTGGAGAAAAAGGTGAAATTAACATCTGTTCACTGTTTACAGTGAGTACTGGACAGGATACACACCTTCCTTTCATAATGGGTAGGCAACTTGTGGATGTTTTGCCTACAACTCCGATCAACCCTCACCATTGATTATGAAGGCTAGGGCTGATGGGAGTTGTAGGCCAAAACATTGGAGGGCCACAAGTTGCCCAGCTCTGCCCTAGAAGCACAGCAGGGCTACCACTTTGGCTATGCCTCTCTGCACCTGTTCAATGCCCACCCCACAGCAGGGCTACCCACCACGCTGCTGATGTGAGGAACTGCTTTCCTACACAGAGCTCTTAAGGCTTGGGAGCTGAGGCAGGCCTCGGCTGCAGCAGGAGAAGCCGGCTCTCCAGGGCTCAGGCCTTACCTTGGACACTGACTTGGGTGCTGGCAACGGCAAGGCTATTGGCATCAGCGAGGGAGATGTTGACACAGTAGAGGCCGGACTGGTTGAAGGCTTGGCGCAAAACCAGCAGGCAGTCCGGGCTAGGCTGCACAGGGCTGCACACCGTTTCCTGGGCCATCAAGCACTCGGGGTCCGAAATGGTGGTACAGACTTCTTCTGGGAGGCTACCAGCGGGACAGGACTATTAGTCGAAATGTTGGAAGAAGACCAATCCTCCCCACCTCCACTAACCGCAGCATTTGGAAATCTCCCCCACGGCAGTGCTTTGCTATCCAAGTACTGCTTCAGCTTCACTGTAGCTGCATTGTCTCTCCCAGCCTCCTGAAGGGCTGTCCGGCTTGTTGAGGATGGCCCATCCACAAGCTGGCCTACAGCACCCTTTGCCGGGCTCCTAACTTCCTTTCAGGCCTCCCTAGCAGCCCGTCAGTCTGCTCCTGTGCAGCTCAGCCACCGTTCTGAATGATGGCGTGGAAAGCCCAGGGATGGGGAGAAGGGACCCGAGGAGGTGGCTCCTGTTACACAACCTACCTTCCTTGGCAGGTCACTGTGAGATCTACTGTGTTTGCTGCAACGGCCGACACCAGTGGTACCACTTGCACAATTTCTACGCTCTCGATGCCCTCTGCAGTAAGAGAGAACAGAGATGGGGCCCGCTTCTCTTCCACGTGCGTTCCTTTTGCTGCCTGGCTTTGATACAGTTCTCCCCTGCCCTGGAGCAGGAAAAGGGAATGTGCGGACCTCTGGATGTTGGATTGCAGTTCCCGTCATCCCTTACCATTAGCTGGGGTGGCTGGGATTGATGGGAGATGCAGTCCAAAAACATCTGGAGAATCACCTCTGGAAGTGAAGAAATGGATGATGGGCTGCCTATATTTAAATGGCCCTTTTGTACCCAGCTCATAGCTGGATGGATTTATTTCTAAAAAGGCTCTGTTGCCAGTATGACAACATACTGTCTGTACCAGGGGTCTCAAACTCAACTTACCTGGGGGCCGCTGGAAGAGGAGTCTGGGTGAGGCTGGGCTGCATCGAGTATTCCACCACCGCGGTGGTGGGGGGCCGCTCATCCCGCCGCCAGCCCGGGCACCGCCGGCGCTTTGAAGGCCGCAGGGCCCCTCCCCCGTGCCCTGCCCATCCCGGCAAGTGGCCCGCGGGCCGCGAGTTTGAGACCCCTGGTCTATACCATCAGGTTCTGATCAGAAGGTGGAATGGCGTTTCTCACCCCTCGAGAATATTTTTGTCCTCCTCCCTTACCACAAATATGCAACTTTATCCTCTTTCAGCGGCCACAGCACTGTGTGGCACTCATTTGCTGGATGCAGGGCTACAAACATTTGGGCACCTGTGGATGGGACTGCAGCAAGCCCAGGTGACCGTGCAGCAGGCTTCTGTGCATGGTTTCACCACCTCCCTGCCAAGATGCCACCAATCCTCAAGGGCCCACAGTCAAATCCCTGCAGGCAGCAACCCCTGCCCCCGGACTCACGGACAATGTCCAGATCAGTGGCGAAGGTCCCGTAGCGGTAGAGGAGGCAGCCAGCTGGTGCCTGGCGCTTTACCAAGATCTGGGCAGCATCAGTTGAAGTTGTTTCAGTGTCCGGTGTGACGGATCCGGCCAGGCCGATGGTTGATGGATCTTCAGCAACATCTGCTGGGAAACAGTCCAAGGTCAAGGGAGAAAAATATGTTTTGCTTCTCCATCTCCTTTTCCTCATAGCCTCACGCTGCCTGTGTCTCAAAGGGGAAGCTGCTGGAAGGGGAAAAGCCGTGGGTGCTTTGACCTCCAGGGGCTGATGGATGTGGCTAGATTTGCAGATTTTAAGGTGAAGCGATTACTCCTCTGTACAAGAAAGACAAGCTACTCTCTGCTGAGTAGGTAGGGGGTGGCATGGAGGCTACGGGGAAGTACAGAGGGTGGACTGGGCACCACCCTCTTTTGAATCAGTGAGCACGTTTGGAATGATGAGAGGCTCGTGGGTGTTCTCACAAAATGGTTGCCTTGGTGGGTGTGGCCTTTCAGGAAACACACAATGCACAACAAAATACTCATTTCCCAGAAGACAAACCATCAATTCTCAGAGAAACAGAAGCACACATGCCAAAGGGAAATAGGAAGCTCGTATCACATAAAACCCAGGCAAAACTCTGTCTCACACATGCACACAAGCAAAGACCTGCTTGCCATCTGCCTCTACCCTGCCCCTTTTCTTTTTTCTGGGTGGCTGGGCTGCAGCCGCTTTCCCCATTTTTATTTTGTGAGGATGCCTCTGGGACCCATGTGCGACCTGGACATGTTTTTGGAAATGGAGGTGGTACTGGAGGCCAGCCTTATTTTCTGCAGCGTGCTAGTCTTTCTGTTAAAACGCTTGAATGAGTAAAGAGTCTGCAACAAAAGTTAGGCGGAACAGGGAGCCCAGTGGGTGCCAACAGAGGTGTCTGCAGGCGCACGGGGGACAGCAGAGATCGGTAGTGACTAGGGTGAAAGCGGGAAAGCTGAAGCCGGGGCCAAGGGGAGCATCAGGAATATGAGTGGTGATCAGAACGGCAGATGGGTTTTGTTAGAGTATCCAGGGGAAGAAGTGGTGTCCTCTTTTCATTTGTCCTGGAATCACATCACTGCAAGGAGCTGCGTCCCTTGGGAGGAACTGTGCAGATACTCCAGTTTATTAAGCAACACTTATACAAAAAGGTGGCTGCTTCTAGTCCACTCTTTCTCTCTGCTGATGTGCACCATACGGTAATCACATGCCTCAACCCAGATAATCTTCCATTCCTGCCTTCTTAGCCCATCTCCCTTTCCTTATCTCCACTCTGGATGCCCTCTGCCTGCAGGAAGTTCACTAATAAGCCCACCCTCGCCTGCCTCATGCTCTCTCTGAGGAAAAGTCAGCCCCAGAGAATCCGCAGGGATGGAGGCATTAAGCCACAATCCTGAGCAGCTGCAAGGCAAAGAACCTCTCACCCGCCTACCTGCTGCTGGAGATGCTGCTGTGTTGGCCACGCTGGAGAGGGCTGTGCTTGCTCCAGGGGGTCCTGTTGCAGGTGCCCCAGAGGACAAAACTGTGGCTGCCAGAGTGTTGGGGTCATCCTCGGGTGCCACCACGGATGGAGAAGCAGCCCCTGCAGTGCCAGGTAGGGATGCCGACACCACGCTGGACGTGGACGCCAATGCCACGGTGCCTGGAAGAGGTGCAGGCGTGGCAGCAGTCCCAGATGCAGGGTCCGCGGTGCCTGCGGCTTCTTCAGCCGGAGCAGCAGAGGCAGCAGTTCCAGGCTCCACAGATGCAACAGCTAAATCTGCCCCTTCAGGCATGGTGCTGATCACGGTGACAGATGCTACTGCAGCGGGAACAGAGCCCGTCCCTGGTGGCCGTTCTGTTACGAATGCCGAAGTTGCGGCAGCTGGGGCTGAAAGGGCGAGGGTGGGTGGAGAGCGAATGAGAGACCCCACAGGAAATATCCTAAGCGTGCTCTTGTAGGCATGTAGTCATGGGGTGGGGCAGGGCAGGGTGGGGGGAACTTGTTTCAGCCTGGCAGATGAATTCAGCTTCGGAGAAGCTCTTCATGGTGGGTGAAGGGACTGAGGGCAAAGAAGGGTGGGCCAAAGGCATAAGGATGGGGCTAAAAGTAAGAAGAAATACCAGCATATTTTAGCATAAAATTCATCCTGCCAGTCACTGAGCCTTAGGAGAAGCATCTCAACATGTTAGTATGGGGGAGAAACTGGCTTGGTCTTCTGGGGAACCACAGAGGGCCAGATGTGGTCTGAAGTTCCCCATCCTTGCTCAAATGGCTCAAATGAAGACCAAATTAAGACCAAAAAATGGTTGGAATTTGCTACCCTAGACATTAGGGTGCCCTAGATGAAGGGATTCTAAGGACTAGTAATTAGAAATAATTGTAGTTATTCCATCTCTTTCTCCTAATTAATTTTCTGGAGTAAGAAAAAAAGGATGCATAGGAGGACTGAGAAGAAACAACCTTGAGCTGGACACCCTGTAAATGTCAGTGAATGTGAAAGAAGGACGGTGCTGGAAAAGCTTCATTTGGAAGTGCCTGGGGTCAAAGTGAATGGCAAGTAAGCCAACGATGGAGAGAGGCCCTTTTAGACTGTGGTTAGATTTAAAGACCTGTTCCATTGGTGTTCCAGTGATGTCCAGTGGATTTCCTTTAAGGAAAGGAAACTTTCCTACCTCTCCCTCTCTGCCAAGGAGACCTTGCCCACTGCAGAGGATTCTGGGGGGAATCCTGATGCTCTGAACCTTAATTACCAATCAGACCCAGGAGTTGCAGTCCAAAACATCTGAAGTTCACCAAGCTCAGGGAGACTGTTCTAGGGCAAATTTGCTCACTGCTTAGGCTTGTTCAGCCTCACCATCACCCAGAGGGAACTGAATGTGAGCTTTATGCAATGCTTTGTTGTGGCTCTGAAGATCAGTATGAGTGGGCAAGCTGATCGTTAGGGAAAGTTCTCCTACATGACGCATTTTCTCATTAAGAAAACCTCCCAAGGAACCACAGAGGTTCCAAATAATGGTTTAAAAACCTTTGTTCTGTTTATCCTGTGAATGCATTGCTATGTCACTCCAGATCTGGTAGAAAAGTGTTTTAAGTTACCTCCAAAAATGCTACCTTCAGAAACAAATTCTGTTAACCATATACAGATTTGAGATGCAGTTTGTACTCATGGAGAAGGGCAAGTGGTGCCCAGGGTTCTTTCTGAACCCTGCGTAGAGATACTGCAGATCAGCCTCCGGACTTTCTGCATGCAAAGCTGATGGGTTACAACTGAGCTACCTTCCATCCCCAAGTGGGATCCTGAGCTGTCCAGCTATGGAGGAGGGCACTCGACACTTACCAGTGGTCTGGATGCCCTCGGAGCTGACCACAGTGGGAAAAGCACTGGTCGCTGGCCCAGGGGTGCCACTTGCCGTTGTTGTGGCTACGACGACTGGCGCATCCGTCGTGCTGCTTCCACAAGAGGCCAATGGGATGGCAGCCTGGAGCACCACACGAGGGCTGAAGGTCCCAGCAGCAAGGTAGGTGTGGGTAACCATGGCGGATCGAGATATCAGTGTCCCACTCTGGTCCCCAAAATCCCAGGAATAGGAGATGTCAGCATCACGCAGGTATTGACTGGGGTCGTGGAGGCGCACACCAAAGGAAATGGCCCGGTTTCGTACAAAGCGGCCATTGGCCCCTTCGACCTGTGCTATGTCCACATTGAACGGGATCTGATCTGGGAAGGCGAGCAGAGCATCAGCAGCAGACACGGAAGGTAACTGGGCAGACGGAAGGCCATGGCCACAGAACAAACCCCCAGGGAACCTCCCAGTCACTTCATATCTGCCCTCCCTCTCCCACTGGCCCACAGTGCCTCCTGCTCCATCAGCTGGTCCCCACTCACATTTTGTGGTAGATGGCTATGGAGGTGGCAGTATTGGGACTCAGGCAACCTGGGTTCTAGCCCCACTCAGCCATGGATATAACTGGGTGATTTTGGGGCCAGTCACAGACTCTCAGCTCTGTCTACCTCACAGGGTTCTTGTTGTGAGGTTCGGCTTGAGAGGAGGAGGAGAATTATGTAAGCTGCCTTGAGTTCCTTGAAAGGAATCAAGGTGGGTTATAAATATAAGAAATCAATACAAATATGTGTTCAGAGTGCTAGGGCAGGGCTTATAAATTTCATCAAGGGGGCTGGTGGGGAAGTCCGCTTCCAACACTGCAGTAGATAAAGTTTAAAATTGGATCCAACCCAATACTCAGATTATCGGAGAGGGGAAGGGACTGACCAGTGCCTTCTTCTCATGGCAGTCTTTTGGCCCATTGAAAATGCTGCACAGACCATCAGCAGGAGTCCTGCTGAATTGGGTCATGCACGGGGTGGAGGGGGGTATCCTCAAAAAAATCAGGTGGAGAATCTTTCCTAGAGCAAAGCCCTTCCACCTGTGGAAGTCCCCTTCCTCTCACAGTAGGGATACCAGGATGAAATGCCTTTGCCCCAGCAGAGTCCCGGCCTTCCCACCTACCAGTGATGCTGAATTGAGATGAGGTGCCACCGATTGGGATGAATTTCTCACGTCCCCGATAGTGGTAGACCTCCACATTCATGGTGTAGGAACCCAGAGGGATATCACTGGTTTCAACAGTCAGCTGAGATGAGGGACCATCTACTACCTGCCAGTAACGTCCTGTGGGGAGGGAAAAATGGCAGGAGAGACAGTATCCAGACGGTGCACAGGAATTTCCCTTCCTCCTTGCTCTGTTTTATATGTGGCAATGCTGACCCGGTCTAGGGCCTGTGCCACAGATGCACACAGAAGTGCAATTCAAGGTGCAATCCTATCCATGTTTAGATGGGGGGAATCCTGCAACTCCCCAGCTAGCATGGGAGCATGTATGACTGGAGAACATTGGCAACAGTAGGATGTCTTTCTGCTTAAACATGCATAAGACCGTGCTTGGAGGGAATTTCCAGAGGGCAGTGAAATATTAGAAGTCTCCAAGCAAAAACAAGAGAATGGCCTGTGAGGGGAGCACAGCGAGAAGCTCTAGCTTCGCCATGGCTAAGGCAGACTGCCAACTTCTTCTCTGGCAGGGCTTCAGTGTCTTTCATAGCTAAGTAAGAAGCAGCAGGAAAAGATTTTTTTGCTTTGACATACAGGGGGAAAGAGTCACCTGCTAAATTTCTGTTTGCTATTTAGCTCTTAAAGCCCTAGGAGCCTACCCAGGAAAAAATGGCATCCCTGCCAGTAGTAGCCACAGCCAAAGAACAATGCTTTGTGTCTTTTGAGTTGAAGGACACAAACAGCTCTGAGGATTTCTATTTGGGAAGGTTGGGCATATTTTGTATGCCTGAGGAGGAAGATTTGGATTAATTTTATTCTAAACCACTCCGCAGCCAGAACTTGGGCCTTAGTACATGATGCTCATAAGATAAAAATCCATTAATTACAATCTCATGGCACCTTAAAGGCTAACCAATTTTTTATACTATAAGCTTTCTCAGACTATAGGACTCTTCATCAAAGATGGACTATAGTCCATGAACCCTATGCCATAACAAATTGGTGAGTCTTTCAGGTGTCACAGGACTCTTTGTTCCTTTACTGCAACAGACTGGCATGGCTGCCCCAGTGGGGAAAAATCCAAATTGAGGATTATTTCACTTGAAAGACAAATGAGTACTCTTGTTTGTTTGCTTACGGATTCAATTCTAGGTTTGGTGATCCCAAAGTAGCTTGCAAAATTTCAACATAAAATTGCAAATGCATAATACACACTTCTTCCTTTTTCACCTCATCTTCTCTCTCAGTGAGTCCCTGATCCTGCCTAATCTTAGAAGCTAAGCAGGGTCAGGACTAGTTGAAATCTGGATGGGTGACTGAAAATGTCGTGAACCACCCAGACGGCTTTGGCTATGGGCAGTATAGAAATGGAAGACGACGACGACGATGACAAAAAACCCCCACTGTAATGATGAAGAATAAAGTAAAGCCTTCATGAGACTTGGCCCTGCTCACTTCTCCGGGAGCATCCACTCACCCCATGTCTGCCAGACGTAGACAAACTTGCCACGCCTTCCACGGCCATTTGAGGGGAAGGGCTGCCCATCGGGAAAGAAGGAGTCCGAGCCTTTGGCCTCCTGGTCAGGGAAAACAGGCTCTCCCTGCATCACGCGTGTTCCTGCAAGACAGCAAGGAGTGGTTGGAGGGGGAATGAGGAGAGGTGACGCATGTGAGGAGGGTCTGGGCCAGGGCCAAATCTGACCCTCCAGGAGTCCCAGTCTGTCTCCCCCACCCCCCAGCTTGCCCCAGAAGCTGCTTTCCCAGCTCACTGGTTGATTTGGTGGTTTCCCCTGGCTTTTTGCTGTGTAGTTTTTTCCTCATTTTAAAAGGCTGAACTGCCTCTTTCAGGGCTTCCTTACTGGCAGGAAGAGCTTTCAGTTACAGTATACTGGCTTTTCATTTGGCCCTGCAGCCCCGTTTAGCCTGTGGCTCAGACCACTTGTGCAGTGCAGCCCCTGAGGACTGCTGTGAAATTGAAAGTGGCCCTCTGGATGAAATACACTTGCCACCCCTGGCCGGGGGCCCCCACGGGGCTCCAGCGGGATAGAGGGCGATGCGATGCGCCACGCACGCATGCGTTCGGCTCACCGTTTATGGAGCAGTTCTGGCTCCACACCACGCGTCCATCTGGCAGCACCGTCTGGTTGCTGGGGAAGCGCAGGGCAATGCTGAATGTGGCTTTGGCTCCTGTTATTGTTGGGGCATCATTGCTGATGTCGAAGCTCACATCGCCACCTGGAGCGGAAGAGGAAGGAAAGAGAGGGGCAGCGATGCCATGCAGCTCTGAGTTTCCCCTGCCACTGGGCCACGAAGCCTCAGCCCAGCGCTTCCCCTTCTCCCGTGCAGCCCCTGCCCTCTGGCCAAAGCCGCTCCGCACCTCGCCAGCAGGTCCGCTGCCTGGGGTCGCCCTCTTGCCACGTGGGGTACAGCCCCGAGTTCCAGGTCTTG